CGGCGTGACGCACATGCTAATGATTTAACTGCTTACGTTTATATCATTGAAATCTTTTGGTGCTTTGTGTTTTGTCACTATCTTGTAATCTCGAATTCTTAAAAAAGGACGAGCGTTGTCTATACTAAAATAGTTAACTAAAACGTCTCAAGAACCCGAGTAAGATATTCTGTATTATTGCTAAATGATGTAATCTTTCACTCCATTCGTTATATAGTACTAACCAAAAAACCTTGACATTGTATGTTCGATTCGGCAAATGATGTTAAAATAAAATTTCAATAAATAATATGTTAGGAGAGTCGATAGTAGTTCGAGCACAATACACAAAACAATGTCAAGATAATGTGTCGGTCGGCTAGCGGCTAGACCGGGGCCGAGACGGCTCGCATTGATTTTACGAAATCCACATCACGGACTGAGAATGAACGGTCTCCGTCGGGCCCATTCATCTCGTTTTCATGTACCTACACACCGCCGCTATTGCGATACGAAAGTGAGAGCGAAATTTACTCGGGCGGTACGCACAGCAGCCACGTACCGCCCTAAACACGACGCGAGAATACATATCGAACGTCGACGGTAATGAACTATCATGAGCAAACCTACCGAGAATCGCAAACGTTAATACGCCAATAGAGTACGAAATCGAAAATTTCAGTGTAACAGAAATTAGGTCATATCAAATATTCTACGAATTTTAACGGGTCATTACTCTCGAGTTTTATATGTACAAATATTGCTTTGTGCAAGTGTTTATAAAAGTCAGGTGCAGGCTTGATGTTGTGCTGAGCATGTTTGTACAGCTTATACATATTTTATGTTTTGAATAATGACACCACTCTTATAACCTGTGAGAAAATGATCACCAGATTCTGTTACATCAAAAGTTACAATTTCATTGGTCTGTCTACATATGACTATCTCAAAGACATAATATTCCGACGTTGAGAAGGCACTGTATTGTTACACAATCCGGATGATGCGAGTACCAATTACAATAATTACGTTTGAATACGTTCATATCGTAAGCCGAGATAAGCGTTTGTTTACAAATACAAAGAAAGAGTCGGGTGAGTGTAAGAACATACTGTATATCCGCATCGCACGGCTAAATCTAAATATAGCGGGCACCGATATCAGCGGCTCGCCCTTGAACCAGTCGCACGGAAACATTTTATTATTATTACCGAGCTGTCGGCGAGCACGAGTGTGCCGGGTCGACGACCCGCCGGCCACGTGTCTCCTTATCGACAACTATCTAACACGATTGCGGCTAAACAACGGACCGAGATAAATTACTAATTCCACGCCACTTGTTTATTTCAGCCATTCATAAATAATCGCTCAAAACGTCACCGCGCTAACAGACAATCGGGACATCCAATACATCGAAATACTGCTTACATTTGAGCGTATTCTGCAAAGATACCTACTAAAAGGTTACTTAAACAATCCTTTAGTATCTCTGGCGAGTCCTATAATAGCTTTCATCATTCTAAATGCGCTGTGTTTCATTAAAGTCTCATTGTCAAAAAGAAAAATCAACACCAAAAGATGCAAGTAAACACTAATCTAATGTTTTTTTAGAGAACATTAAAAATGGAGAAAATAGACTTCGATATGAACAATTTCAATACTGACACCGCTAATTCTGTTAAAAATAGAGTCAAAAACATGTGCATTGTACTAAAAGAAACAATTTCTAACTGCAAAACACGCACACATACTCTCCAATCTATTGCAAATAAAGTTGAATTTCTCGACAAAAATCCAACAAAGAGTTGTTGTACAATACAATAGACACACGAATTTCCGTTAATTGCATTAAAAGCGGCCGTAGCGGAAGTACGGACCGGCGTGGGAAGTGGGCCAGGCGTTACGTAAGCCGGCACTTGCTCGGCCTACACGGGCACATCCTTACAAATGCGTGCGGCCTTGAATGTGAACTCTAAAGTGTGGCCACGTGGCCGATGCATTGTTTTATGGCGGCCCCGTGTGGAATGCTGCAATCCAAACGATAGGATTACGAACGCGGACGAGGAGGGCGGTTAATGTTCTGCGTACTTTTACGACCTTTCCGTTAGCTCAGCATCTAGTTTGCACATTTAGTCAACTGACAAGATAATTCCATATTTTTTCTCTTTCCTACAAGGACAACGAAGACATTACTTTTTATAAGGAAAAGTAGATATTTCAATAACATTAAGTACAATTTTTTTCAGAAGAAAAGATGATGTGCAATAACAAGTATTGTGCTGTAGTTGCTAGTTATCAAATTTCATACGCAAATAATTACTTAGAGATACAGCTTATAAGAAACATGAAACTTATAGTACATAGACTTTTAAACTTGTTGTGAAGTATTCGTATATTTGAAAGCTTACGGCTGAAAAGATAGACGCGTGCAAAGATAGAAGCGCGCCAAATAAAACATGGCAGATGTTAAACGATTTACGTATTCTACGAATACGAGAAAAAAGTATATCTGTCAAACGGTACGGGAACCATTTCAAGTGGTTGCCGTGTGAGGAGCACGCGTCACATGTCATGCTCCATTCACTGTATGCCGCTGCCGCTGCATAATGTATGCGCGGGCCTGCGCTCCTAGCGTTTGCCTTTACCCCGTTCCGTTGCTGAGAGGCGAACGCACAAATCTCCGCCTGAAAGCGAGTAATATTTGCCTACACATCAAACTTTCACTATCGCCGTACGCTTTCGTTTTTATATCCGCAAGCGGCCCACCAGCTTTGTTATTTCCTCCGTGCTTGCTTTTTTTACATTTTTTTTTCGCGTTTAACAACTCGTATATACGTAGCGGTGCATTTGAATGGAGTGGCTGTTATAGGTAATGGAAATGGCAAAAACATACATGATGAATTGATGTGTAAAGAGTAAATGGTGCGCAATTGTTACATTTATAGGGGAAAATCAAAGAAAACTAGACGTTGATTTCTTATCAATGGTGATAAATAAACTATAATTTTATTTCTACATTTTAACATTATAAATAAACGTAGTACGTACTTGAAGCTGCCTACAGTACTTGCTACACCAATAAGTGTGCCGAGCTCCCTAAAGAGTTCAAATATTCAAAGTGTATTTATTACCACTTGTTACTAATTTGTTTCTTACTTCAAGTATTATTTTTCTTAGTAAAACTGGTGAAGTGTGTTCTACTTGTAAAAACATGCAAATAAAATGTTCAAATCACAGTAATATTGTGTAGATGCAATGATTAAGTTTTTACTTTGTTATTTGAACATTTTGTAAATTTATTCAATTAAGAGCTCAGCAAGCATAGAAGACAATTAACACTACAAAGAGTCCACATCTCATAAAAGTCTCCACCAAGGGGAATAGTCAACCACGCTGGCCTAGTGCATCTTTGAATTTACAGAAGTCTTTGAATTTCTTTAGTAGAATGAGTAAACTGAATAAATCACAACAGTGACAATTATCTGCGGGGCCGGCCTGCACACTAAATATCCCCACAGAGTAGGTACAATAGGCTCAGTTGATACAATTATGCTACAAAAAGATTCCATCGGTAGATGATAGTGGAGTATTATAACTCCCGACAACTGCAAAAACCATATACAACTAAAAAGGGTAAACAAGAATGATGCACTGTGTAACCTTGAGTTTTAACAGCAAACAAGAGTATAAAAATTAAGACATCACATTTCAAAATTGACAATATATCGACAAACTAGCGTTCTCCCGCGACTGCTTCCGCATTTAATTAAAAAAAAAAAAAACAAATGGGAGTAGCCTATGTGTTCTCCCAGGCTATCCTCTACATCTATACTAAATTTCCTTGAAATCTATTCAGCCCTTTAGACTACAAAATCTAACAAACATCCATCTAAACTTCCTTAAATATTAGTATGACAAGAGTCAGCATATTAAAAGTTCTGGGTACATTTAAAAAGTTTTCTTGGGTCTATAAATATTTTTATGAGAATTGACAAATTAAAACAATCAATATCCATATTCAGAATAAAGTCTAGCTTCTGTTATCCCAAGGTTTAGAGTACCATAATAAAATGAAAACTTGGTAAAAGACAAACTTACTCTATCCATAGTATCTTAGTCTTCTAAACTTAGCGAATTTAGGATAGTATATGGTTATATTGCAAGGTTTTCTTTTCTATAAGGTCTGGCCAGATCATTATCATGATATAAGATTTTTAATTATTAAGTAAAATAACATTGTTACCAAATTATTTTAAATGATGATCGATTACAATGGCTAAGGTTGGCTTAGGTGTAAACATTATTACATTTTAATATGGTAAATTTCTTATTCCTTATTAATCAACTTAAAGACTGGATTAATACATGAAAGTGTGGATGGACGGATGGATGTTTGTTTCCAGTATGGTTGCATAGATCTGGGTGAAATTTAGTATGTTGTACTGTCTAGAAATATAGGCCACCAATTAAAACCATATAGTTGCGACTTCCATTGACATCTAGGAATGAATAACAATATTTTCTAATAATAACTGCAAATTAGCAGCATGTACTTTGATTAATTCTGATACTTTTGAGTGAAATAAAGTTCTTAAATATGCGAATAAAATGCTTCACAAACATATTTTCAGTTCAAAGATATCTATGAAGCAATGGGGCAATGAATAACCTATTTGCCGTTTTTATAACAAACATTTCATCATTTACAATTGACTAAAATGTATAATATGAAAAAATCAAAAGCACTTTCAGTACATTTCCCTAACAGAAGAGTTCAAATCTTAAAATAAAGTAATAAGGTTTATAATTATATGCAATTTATGAGTTTGAGTAGCTTTGAACTTCAAGTGAATATTTGTATGAACATAAATATTATTTTTGATAATTTAAACTTATGTAGATAGTATGAAAATTCAGCATTTCATTCTTTTTCAGTAATCTGGCTATTTTTTAATGTTATAAGTGGTTTATGAGCAACAACTCAGCTACAATTAATACTATGTCTTAATATAAGAACTTACCGTAGAATTTCTGTAAGGTCCTCCTTGGGGATTATAGGGAGGCATCGGTCGCGGCGGTGGCCAGCCGGGCGCGGGCCCATAGCCCGCCGGCGGCTGCTCGTAGCTATTGGGATAGCGGTGTGGCGGCGCACCACTCGATTGCAACAAGGAATTGAGTGTGGGTGTCGGGCCTGGTGCCTGTGACGCAGGCTGGCCCGGAAAGAACCTCTGCTGCGGCGGCGGCCGCGGTTTACCGGGAAATCCAGGCCTCGCGGCATAATACGGGTCCGCACCCTCTGGGTATCGATATTGGCCGTATTGGTCCGGCCCCGGCCTTTCGCCGCCCCGGTCGTGGCCGGGCGCCTCGCCACCGTCGCGTGGCTGCCCCGGATCGGCCGACATCGGCGATTTACTCTTTGTGTTCACAACGCCATCGGGCGGAACGCGCCCTACGCTCTTGTCAGTGCCGTTTTGTAATAGAGCGCTCCGCGATTCACTGAGCTGCTCCGATGGACTCTGATCTACGTTCACTTCGCTACGCTGAGACTCTGCCTGCGTCGCAGCCATGTTCGGCTGGTTGCGGCCGTCCCTGCTTACACTCGCTCTAGCGATCGACCGGCTCACTTACGTTACATCGAAAACGGGCGTCGGATTGCAAAACCGCGACGCGGACACTTCCATCACTATTATGCCGAATAACTTTGCACAAATTGTAACACAAAACTGACGAAAAATCGTTCACCGACGCACACACATCGATCACATATCTACTCCATTGGCGTAAACGAGGTTATGGAAAAGGTTACATATCTAGCGGGCGCTTTTGTCATGTTCACACTGAACATTTCATATCACTTTCACATTTACAACACTACCGATGTGATCAATTATTGCTAAACTCATACTATAATCTATAGATAGATGAAATATTCAAAAACAGAACAATAGAATCACGAAACTTCCAAAATTATTAGCGTCCGCCATTAACAGACTTGAAATTCTACAGCACTCGGTGACGCTTTTGCCTATCTTCACTACAGTGACAGAAAAATAAAAATCTTGCAGTGGCAGCGTTAGCAATCAGATATTAACTCAGATGTATGTTATTTTGAAATAGTATAATGATAAGCCTAAAATGTTTAACTCTAAGCACCAAATATGGAAAAATTAACTGAGAATTATCTGTGCATGTTTACATTTCCGTAATATTGCGACCACGTAGTTACTGCAGCGGTGCCAACCTCAAAAAATGTCTATGGTCTATGTTGAGTTCCGCTGGCGCCAAGACGTTCGTTGCTAAGTTCACTTTATACGAAAGTTTAAAAATTATGAAAGATCCAACTATTAGGTTGAGAAATTGACTCAAGGCTTACAATGTTTACTTTAAATTATTGACAATATGCATTTTATATTGCCTTTTTTAATTTCGGAATGTAGAAACAATAATTTGGCGAATAATTTATTGTGCGTGACTTTTGACATTTTACCAACATAACAAAACAATATTTTTTCATAGATTAAACATATTTTTCTACAATCTGTTAAAAAAAGGCAGATTTATAAAAATTAAGTTATTTCATAAGTATTTATTTATATACATGATAACAAAAATTTAAAATTGTTCTTACGAGTGATAAAACTTTTTAAGTTAACATTTGTCAAATATAATGATATACAGGAGGCCGTACTAAAAAAAGGAACCCTTCCAACATTATATTATTTTATTATTTATAACACGGCTAAAACTCACGTGGGAACTTTCGGTGTAGGCACCGACCAGTTTCGAACCCGTAGGGGGTCCTTCTTCAGGGTGAGTGGATGCCGGCTTTATTCGCTATCGCGTCGCGACGGTCACTGACTACATTCAACATTAGCTAAATATCGCTAATTTAACGTTTAAAATCAATTAACAGTATTAAAATGATCGCTCCTTTGTTTATAAAATCGTAAATAATTTATTTGAATTCCATTATTCCCAGTACTTGCTAATCAACGATTTTTTTTTTACTCAAAATCTATTTGAAAATGAATTTATTTAAGGAAAACAATGAATTATTCTAGATTTTCAAAAAGCCGTCGATTTTGTAATTTGATGGTTTCGGACCTTAGTACACAATTGCTTGTACTTGTCGACTTGTGCACCGCTACTTTTACATCATAAAATACCATAGACAATGATTCATAATCACTTGAAATGTATGAAGAAGCAGGAGCTAAAAGTAACGTATAGAATTTATAAAACATTGCTTTGCATTAACTTTTCTTTAAATATAGAAAACAATCATACAGAGAAAAATAAAAGAAAACATGAATAAGGAGGGAAATAAAAAAGGATACACTTTCTTAAAAATTCTTTTATTTTTTCCGTTATACAAAGGTGGTTAACATTGTTGCAAAAATATTATTTTTTTGTACCAATATCGCATCATTAAATAATGTTATGTTCACCAACATCTGTGTAGATGATGAGAACGATTAAAAGTTATTTTTTTGTTAACTCAGAACAATATCGTAAATTGAGAATGTCTTATAAAACAGCTTTGGACAGCAAACATTTTGATAATTACTTTTTTGTATTTAATTTTTCTACAAAGGTAATAAAACGTCATTTCTTATACATATTTTTTGTTTGTCAGTTATTTTAGTTTAAAATGTCCCATACAAAAATACAGAATAATTTAAGGTCATATTTTAGGCGTTTTAAGCATATACTTTAAAAGGATTAGCTAATCTCATTTAAAATTAATTCAAAATAAGAGTATTACAAGATTTTATTGCGTAACATTAACCATTTGCGATATTGTTTTGTTTTATAACTATGTTATTTATTATTAAAGGGACGTGTGGCATCACGTAAAGGCAAATATTTTCGACGATTAATCAAAAATTTTCTTTCATATATCTAAAACTAACAAAAGTATTAATTTAAATTGAGCGAATATTCAATGCCAAATATATATCTCATCTTTATACAATCAACAAACATAATTGAAAAAAAAATCTATATAAAATTTCTATAAAAAAAAAATTACACATAAATTAGTTATGGCATAAAAATTATTAACTAAACCAGTTATAAATCTCAAATTAAACTATGATTTAAGTACAAAGATCACGACTTATTATAGTGTAGTTAACTTTGAACACAGATCTTGAAGCTAGCAAGTTAAGCCGTAAATATACACAAAAAGAAACACTAGAAATGTACAAAATACATGTGAAGTCAGTGTTAGTAAAAATGTAAATCACTATTGTCTATTTACACTGCATTTGTTCCAGCGGGAATGTTATTTTTATAATAAGAGTGCGCACACCTTGGACTAAACTATCGCAGAACTTTTGTCTCGCTTTGATTCATATGACCTCATATAAAGGTAAATACTACTCGATTTTTAGTTGTGCAAGTTGAAGGCTGCATAACAATCGATAATCGTACAGGAGTTGTGCGATAATTTAGTCAAAGTTGCCCGCTCTTATAATCTTTTCAGTGGCAAAATACTATCGTTGTAAGATTTTAAAAGGTTTTAATACACTAACCCTGTAATACAATTAAAATTACATGACGTCACAGAATTTTTAGTATCGTGCATCTCTTTCTGTTGTTTTGCTCTCGCTTACACACTCGGCTTAGGAAACAGATATATTTTTACGATTCTTAGTACGATGTCGTCAAAAAGCAAACTATTCGCTATAATATATTGACAATTAGATTAAAAATGGTCTTAAATAATTTTTTTACACGGTAACAATGTTTAATTGTTATTATATGCACATAAATTATATATTTAAAAACATATTCCGTAAGGGTCATGTATTAAAACCTTAGCATCAGTCATTAATACTGCAACATACTTATCTACAATAAGGCAATTTTTATAACACGATACACAAAGTTAAAGCGTGTTTCACACTAATATTGCATTTTTTATGGTCTTTTTGTCTACTGCATGAATCAGGATGATCCGAACTCGTCCATCCACGTGAGGTATTTCTGTATATCCCCTTTGGAGACGGATTTGTTGCATTTTGCGAGTGCTTCGAGGAAGTCCTGCCTTGTCACTGGTAGATCCAGTTCTTCTTTCGCAAGCTGTTTTATCTGTTCAGGTTTTAATCCAGCTATTTTTCTTCTCATTGACATCATTGACGCGTCACTGTAAATATAAATTTAATTTTTACTACGAAAGTTGACTTATAAAAGGTAATAAGTTACTTCGATAAGTACCTTAGTATTAATATCAATACTAATATTATAAAGAGGAAAGATTTGTATTTTTGAAATTTTGTATGTATTGAAATAACTCAAAAACTACTGGATCGATTTCAAAAATTCTAGCACCATAAAAAAGTTACGTTATCAGTGGATAATTTAGGTTTATATTTTTAGAATTCTCTGATTTCACGCAAACGAAGACACGTGCAAGAGCAAGTTATTTATAAGGTGATATTGAAATTTTAATCTTTATAAAAGAGAAATTAAAGTTACAACAAAATAATAAAGCCTGTAGCTTTAATAGCTTGACCAATTAAAATGGTCAAAAAAAAATCAGAAACTCTGGTTTTAATTTGTAAAAAAGTATCTGGTTACAATATTAAAATCAAGTTAACCTTTATGGTGGCAAGATTTTTTAATATGAAAAAAAAAATGGATATACGTAGCTTCTTTATGCTATAAAAACATGTACACATAGTAATAGTAAATTTATATACAGTTATATCTATAACATACTAGCTGTTCCCGTGCGACTTCATCCGCATAAAATTATGAAAATTTTATTTTATTGTTTACACTTATTAAATTATCAATTGCAAATGTCAAAATGACATGACATAATGACAACCTTGTTTCCTTGATGTTGGCAGCAACTTATGGTCTCTTTCCCACATTAGGGTTTTTATCCAAAATATTTACCCCTAAGTTGAATGGTGTGAAAATATATAGCCTAAAGTATCCCGTAAGTGTAGGGTTTTTTCATTAAATAGAAAATTATTTAAACATATGCTGTAATCGCTGATATCTTAGGCAACAAAGAAGTGTGTGTTTACGCTTTATTATAATAGTATAGACAAGCATACGCAAATCTTGTAGTTAATAGTTTTATACCTATTGTAATAACATTTGCGCATAAATTATTAAATAAATAAAATTCTGAATATTTCATTCGAGATTCATATGCAACGTCAGTGGACACTATAGTAATAATATTTATATACTAGCTTTCGCCCGCGACTCCGTCCGTGTGGAATTAAAAAAATACTAAGTAGACTTTGTGTTCTTCCAGACTATGCTTTATATCTATGCCAAATTCCATCGAGATCCGTTCAGCAGTTTAGGCTACAAACTCAAACAAACATCCATCTAAACTTTCGCATTTATAAGTAAGATAGTTACCGGCAGACGTTTGTGATATCGGCTCCGGAGTAACCATCAAGTTTCATAGCGATCAGCCTGAGTTCCACCTCCGGGTCCACCTTCACCTCCCGCAGGTTGATCTGCAGCAGCGCTTCGCGCCCCTCCTGCGTCGGCAGCGGGATGTAGATTCTCTTCTCCAGACGACGCCGGAGCGCCTCGTCTATATCCCACGGGAAGTTGGTTGCTGCTAGTACCATTACTACCTGGAATTCAAATTGGATATCCTAACTCTCTCTCTCTCTCTCAAATTAAAGGTTACCGCGTATAAGGGGGGTGTGTACACTACCATTTTTTCTTTTAAATCAACACCTAAAGACTCTTGGTCCGTACTCTTTTGCACAGTTTATATGGATAATTCCCAACCGTCACCCTGCTCTATCCCCACGTGAGAATAAAAAGTTTCATCCGTCCCAACATCACCAATAAGGTGACAGATGAAACCGTTATAAAATAAAACAAGTTGCCACCATCCCCTTATCGCAAAAGGTGGGATGGATGAAACTTTTTATTCTCATCTGTTTCCACGTGGGGACACAGCAGGGTGACGGTTGAGTAAATTGTGCAAAAAAGAGTACAGACCAAGAGTCTGTAGATGTTGATTTAAAATAAAAAAGGTTATTCTTATCTGTCTCCACGTGGGGACAGAACGGGGTGACGGTTGGGAAAAATCCGTTTATATCCTTTTTGTGTACTGTGTGTACCTTAGCGGGTTCGTCAGTAGCGGAGCCGAGGCCGTCCATCTGCACGAGCAGTTCCGACTTCACCCGACGCGAGGCCTCGTGCTCGCTGTCGGAGCCGCGCCGCGAACACAACGAGTCTATCTCGTCTATGAAGATCGTACTCGGCGCATAGAACCTCGCCTGTTGGGACAAAAAAAACTTTAGTTTATCTAACCAACCCACGTTACCCTTATTCAGTCTAACTTCGGCATTTCGTCCGCATCAATGAGACACTCCACACGTAATAAGAATACAAACTTTGTTATGGCGAACTTAGGTTAAAAAGTCAGCCTAACTTAGTGTAGGCTCCTCCCCTCAATGGGGATGTATAGTGAGCTGATGATGAAGATATTTTTTATTATCGTAATATTTAGTGGTGTTGAGAATCTATTACATTTTCGATGGTAACCTTAACTATGGTTGTTAGGGAGTATATTAATTGTGCTGGAGTACTAAATTTTAGTCGTCTTCTCGCTATTTTTAATAGTAAAAAGAACATGCATGTATGTATAAAATAGAGAAACATTGGAAATAAGACGTCTTACTAAAATCATCTAATCTTACTTCTTAATAATATTACAAATATTTTATTGTTAAAAGTTATTTTTACATGCAAAATGTTAAAATTGTTTTACAGGTATTCTGAATGGAAAATAAGACAATCGTCATAGTAGAAAAAAATTCTCCATTCCTGCCATATATTATAAATGCCAAAAATTTGGATGGATGGATGTTAGAGTTTGTACCTTAAACTGATAAATGGATTTCGATGAAATCTGGCACAAATGTAAATTGTCTGGAAGAACACATAGGCTACTTCACTAGTTTTTTTAATAGTCACGGGCGAAAGCTCTATAAAATAGCCTATGTCATAAATTCAGATAGTAATTGAATCTTACCATTTCAAATAATAATCGAACAAGTTTCTCTGATTCTCCTCGATATTTCGACGTGAGGGTGGAGGAGGAGACATTGAAGAAGGTGGTCCCGCACTCTGTGGCTACTGCCTTGGCCAGCATCGTCTTTCCCGTGCCTGGAGGACCCACCATCAGCACACCCTTCCATGGACGTCGGATACCCTGAATACAACACAGTAATAGGTACAAGGAAAATAGTAAATGGCATTTCTAAAAATCTGATAATGTCTACATTTTCACATAGGAGCGATGGTTAAAACCGATTCTAACGCATAATTTTGTTACACAAAGAAAAACATCTTCCTCGTAATCATTAAAAATAATTAGCAAAACAATGACAGGAAGAAATTAAATAAAAAGATAGTGTAAGAAATATATAGACTAAACTTAGTCAACATTTTTACACCGGTAACTTCTTTGAAAGGTACTATATTAGTTGTCAAGTTTAGTAAGCCCTATTTTGAAACATTCTACAAAGTTATAATAAGCTCCATAATTTGTTATAAATTTAACAGTATTACAAAATAAAAATATTTAAATATGATTTAATGACATCTAGAGACAATTTATTTAAATACAATTATATTAAAGTGTGGTTTTGAGGATTTATCAATAGACAGTATTAGTCAGGATTATGAGAAAAAATTTTCAAGTGAAGTGTCAACTATGATTTCTCTATATATTTTTGAATTTATATGTGTAAGATATACATAACATCTTGTTGTATACAAACCTTGAAGAAATCCGGCATCCACATTGGCAACACGACAGCTTCCTCTAGCAGCCGCTTGGCCTCCGTCAGGTCCGCGATGTCGTCCCATCTTATATTCGGGTTCTTTTGTACTATATCTCTTTCTGAAATAACATAAAACTTACATTAATATAATTAAATCCTTACTTTGTTTGTTTCTAGCGGTATTTCCAATTAGACGAGAAAAAGAGGTATAATATTGGATTTCATAGTCAAATCTTTAAGAAAGGTTATCTGCTATCTCGCTCTCTCATTTTAAGACTCCGTCAATTTGACAACGAGGACATTAAGTACAAAAAGCTATGCTATGTGCAGATGAAATTATTTTCTATACCAGGGAATAGTATTTTTGGAATAATAGACATAGGAGATACATTTTATTTATACTATTATAATAAAGCGTAAACACACTTCTTCGTGGCGTAGGATGTTAGCAATCACAGTACATTTTTGAATAATACTTTCTTTAATAAAACCTCTACACTTGTGACACGCTTTAGGCTGTATATTTTCACGCTATGAAATTTGGGGGGTAAATAAATGCAAAAAACCGTTAAGCGAGAAAGGGACATTAACAGAAAAGAAGGTTTTTGGTTACTCATAATTATTTTTCAGCCAACATCAAGGGTCTTATTTGGCTATTTGACATTTTGCAAGTTAAAGTTTTACGGATTGTAAACCATTTTTATAATGTCATTTAGTTAAAAAGATTATAAAAATATACAGAGTGGACATAGTTGATACTTCACTTGTAACATTTTTCACAAAATCTCACTAGCGCTACCTGGTAGTCGATAGTGAAAATCACAAATAAACAAAAAAAATAATAAAAAAGCGCTTTGAAGTGTTTAATTTGACATAGAGATATTACCGTACAAAGAAGTTACCGGAGAAAAAATGTATTCACTATGTCTATTCTATATACTATCTTACTTAATATTATAAATGCGAAAGTTTAGATGGATGGATGGATGGATGGATGGATGGATGGATGGATGGATGGATGTTTGTAAGCGTTTGTAGCCTAAACGGCTGAACGGATCTCCATGAAATTTGTCACAGGCTTACAGCATAGTCTGGAAGAACACATAGGCCACTTTTTATCCCTGGAATAGTTACGGTTCCCGTGGGATTCATTAATTTAGTTTTTTAATGTTTACTCGATCATTCTGCAACGGTTCAACATATCGTATTGAAATTTGGCAGAAATATAAAACAAAGTCTGGAATACACATGAGATAAGCTTCAACCCAGAGAAATTTTCGGTTCCCGAGGGATACGAAGCTTTTTGTAATTTATATAGTTCGTATGTTTTCTAATACCACGCGGACAAAGTCGCGGGCAACAGCTCGTTCTATATATTTCTTAAATGACTGTTTTTAGTTAAAGAGTTTTGAAGGAGGATCTTACCTAGCATATCAACAAGGTCTGTATCAGCGGCTGAAGGTGGCTCAAATCTTCTCTCCTCTTCTTTATGCCGTTCATCATCAGTATCACCATTATTGTTGTCTCTGTCCTGCTTGTCTTTGCCGCTGTGCTCCTTATTGTTGGATTCTTTTGTTTTTGCTGAAAAAAAAAGAAACGCTAAGTTTTGTTTATACTAATATTATAAAGAGAAAAGATTTGATTTTTGTATGTATTAAAAAAATTCAAAATACTGGGCCGATTTAAGAAATTGCTTCATCATTGAAAAACTACGTTATCAGTGAGTAACTTAAATATATATAAATAGTAATTATTAAGCCTCTTTACTTCCTTATTGACACGTTTAAAAATTCATTTTGTTACTATTGTTAGTTTCACACCTTATTTCAGTTATGGATGGATATTATCGTTATGGATATGGATGTACTGTGTAACATAGGCTATATTTATTAAAATATATATATATATCTGTAGGGACGAAGACGCGGGAAACAACTAGTACATACAATAGTACGATTTCGAAACTTGTACACATTGGACATTTGATAAGGAACATTTAACCTGATATAATTTTAAACCATTTTACACTCCATAACTTTGTATTATGTTACTATTTTACTATCGTAGTAATGTATGGATGTTATTACAGTTAACAAAATTGTTATCTGTCTTACCACTATGTGCTTTATTAGTATTGAGCTTGGGGTTCTTATTATCTGAGGTTTTGCGCTGCGAGGTGGTGGCATTGCGCTGCGCATTGGACGGTTTCTTGTTGTCGCGGTGGTTGCGGGCGTTGTTGCGAGCCGACTTCATTGCCGGCGGACCTCTGAAAGGAAAATTAACAATTAAATTTAACTTTACTAAAACTAATAGGATATATGTCTATTTCTATCAATCTATTTTATACCCCCTAAGTCTAATAACGTGAAAATACATAGCCTAAATAGTAACGTAAGTAAAGGGGTATTTATTAAAAAAAGAATTATTCAAAAACATGCTGTGATTGCTGATAACTTACGTCACAAAGTAGTGTGTGTTTATGCTTTTTTATATTAGTATACATTAAGTATCTGTTGAAATTGTTATTAAGTAACTTTTAGGATAGATTGTGTATGATACATTTTGATTAGGGTCTCCCTTAGTGCTCAATTAACGCTTTCAAAGGCAATAAATCCGCTTTCTTAAAAAAACATTTTCAATATTATTAGGTCTTTATTTCGAAGAATAGTACTCTGTACTTGGGAAAACAGTGAACTCTCTTTTACTGATTTATTGTAAAAATCTTCAAATATCGACAGCAGCTAGAAATAAAAAAAAATGTGGTGCCAGTACACTTGAATAGTTGCAACGGTCAGTGTTAGATTGTACGTATTCACTGGCTCCAGTTAGCGTTCACACTGTGCCAGTTGCTTGACAGTCCAGTTATTGAGCGCTACTGACCAACTGTACTGGCCTAGTGTAAACACTACAGTGGCACATTAAAAAACAGTTACAAACGGTGATATAAAGTACGCTTTTTGTTACGTAAACTCATTTTTATTTAACACGTGTCGGGACGATAATTGCTACAAGCAAAAGTCAGTTTATAAATATTCAAGCCTCGACTGCAAGCTGTTTCAACTTATATAACTTTATTACATTAAGTATACGTCGATAAAAATATAGATGTAAAGTTACCCTGGCAACTCAAGTTGAAAAATCGGCCTATACAAGGGTGCTGGTCCTTTTAGAGTCGGATGTTTTTCAGACTAAAAACTCCTCGTGTATTTTTTTACCATACTTAAACTATAAATGCAAATGTTTAGATGGATGTTTGTTAGAGTTTGTAGCCTAAACGGCCGAATAGATTTTGATGAAATTTGGTATAGATGTAGAGGATAGTATAGAAGAACACATAGGCTACTCACTTTTATTTCACATGATGCGGATGGGGTCGCGGGCGAAAGCTAGTACATTATAAAAATATACCGCTATTTTAAAATGTAGGTTTTAGTATTAACCTACTCTTAAGAAGTGCTATTTCTAATACACATGGTGCGTATGCGCTGTTTGTATGCAAGTTATTAAGTAACTAGCTGTTCCCGTGCGACTTCATTCGCATAAAATTATAATTAATAATAAATAAATTTCATTTTATGGTTCACATTTGTCAAATTATGAAATTTCAAATGTCAAAATGACATGGCATGATGTCAAACCATGGCAACCATGCTTCCTTAATGTTGGCCACAACTTATGGTCTCTTTCCCACATTAGGGTTTTTATCCAAAATATTTACCCCTGAGTTTAATGGCGTGAAAATATATAGCTTAAAGCGTGACGTAAGTGTAGGGTTTTTTTATTAAAAAAGAGTAATTCGAAAATATGCTGTGATTTCTGATATCTTAGGCAACAAAGAAGTGTATATACTTGTGTTCGACGCTTGTGGGGGGCGGCCAGGCGTTGGGGTCGCGGTCCGGCGGCGGCGGCCAGATGTCCGGGTCGATCTCGTGAGGCGCGGCCGCCCACATCTGGTCTCGTGTAGGCAGCTCCTCGTAATCTGAAAATATTAACAATTGTCAATTAATATAAAAACTTGTCTTCCTTTCTATTTCTTTTTTTTCCTAAAAGCATAGTAGAATCGTTCTTTAAAACATAAAAATGTATAATTTAAATTTCATATTTACATATGCTAAAAATTTCTAGTTTTTCTATTTAACGAAACTAAATCTCTGTTTTTGTACCACGTTTTATTCTTGTATCATTTTCAAACTAAACAAAGGCAAACATTGTTATGTTATACGTGCCTACCCTACAACTTCCGTCCACTTACTAATAGTCTCGCAGCTCCCTTGTTTCGTCGGATTCCATTTCTATTCTAGCCGTATTCCCGGCGGCGGAGTGTTGTCTTAATCGCCAACAATTCTCACTTTGTTAATTTTAGAAATTGTAAATAAACAACCTAATGTTGCTTTTAGATATCTGACCTGAATGTTACTTTGAAAAGGATTCTATTATAAATGATACTTTGATATAGATACTTTTAAATAAAAATATTATCTTGTAGCTATAGTTTAATTCTAATTAAGTCCCAAGACTGGCTGATAGTTGCTCAGATAGTTTAAAAATAAATCACTGTCAGATAACGGAATAAAATCTGATATTTCCATGACATATTTTACACGTTTGATTGATATCATTTTTTTTTATAACATAAGGTGACAAACGAGCAAGCGGCCACTAGAATCCGCCAAAATGGCAAAGCGACTGCTGCCCATAGACATCCGAAATTGCAGATGCGTTGCCTACCCTTATACGACGGAGGAGGAGACGCACATAAAGAGGATATTTCCCCTTCCTATGCATCTCCTCCACCGTCAAATCCTTCCCCTTCCCAACCTCTCCTTGTAAGAAAAGAGTGATAAAGAGGAAAGGACTTAAATTAGGCCTTCGGCACCACACTCATCAGACGAAACACGGAAGTGCTTCCATTTCACGCCTGTCTTCTGTGTGGTCGTGGTATAACACCGGGCGTGCCGGCCCTGCAGTGCTAAGATGTTAAAGCGGGCACTACCACTGTTAAACTATTAAGCTATTTACAATTTAGTGGGACAGGCCATCGATGAAGAAAAATTTCATAGTATGATGACATCGACAACATTATCAGACAAAATGCAGATGAATTGAGAACATCCTTTTTTTCGAATTTGATAAAAAGACATTCAAGATATACGAAATCACATCTCTCCTTCAACATCTAATTGGCTTAATAAAACATAAAAATCGATAATATAAGATCGTATCACATGTAGGAAAAGTAAAGGTCATTGTAACTGGCATTGTCACTCTAATTAAGATAAATGCGCTCTAACTGTTGTACTGTCCGACAACTGGACGGAGAAAATTGTTGCTAACGGGATGATAATCTCAGAACACAATTGTGGAGGAGATTAACAAACTTACTTAAAATGTGGTTAAACTATTCTGTACAAAGTTAAAAAAATAAATCTTTACTCTTTGTATCCTGTCAAAGAACATGGTATCATAGAGTAGAAGAGTTTCATCAAAGAGATGTTTAATAAAGTGTCTATTTCGAAGCAAATTCTAGAGAAATTTTCCTCATAGTAAAGAATGTTTCCTATCTGTGTGAAAGCTATGAAATAACAAGAGAGTAATTAATTTTTTTTAACCATCACAATTAAAATAAATCGATTATCAACGCCATCTGGTTGGCACTTTCGAAATGCGTTCCGCAGTGCCCTTAACTGGTTTCTTTGGCAATTACGTTCACCTTGCGTGTTTAATCAGTGCTCGGTAAAGGTTTGTCTTCACGAAACTACAACTTTAAAAGAGGTCAAGTGAAAGAAAAATCGATATGTAGAGGTAAAAGCCAATGTACTGGCCAATTTGACTGGACTGCTGCGAAAAAACGTCAAAAAGAATGGAGAAACGATATGAAGGAATAAATTCATACCTACATTACTTTTAACGATTAATTAAGGAAAATTGTAAATAATGCAGTTCAACAAGTAATTTGTAGCACAATTTTATATCAGGTTTCAAAATAAGACGAGGACAACTCCTTTTTAATGCATTTCAGCCTTTACATTTTTTTATATTCTTTTATTTCGAATTCTTAGCCAGATATAAAACTTTTGTTAAAATTGTTTCTATAACATAATTCTTATTGAAAAAAATATTGATTTGGTCATAATTTAAAATGAAACAAAGGAATAAAAACTTTTAAGGACAAGATTCACATATTTCTAGTTTTACAATAGTTAACGTAATATAAAAATATGTGGAATATTAATTACAATTTGGATTCCTGCGCACAACATTCCGCAGATATTAGACACCCACGAGATATGAATGCATTATTAATAATTGGTTTTAAGCGTAATAAATACATGCTGTTTGAATTATTAAATCACAGCCAGTCAAATACGTTCACAACTACTACCGAAAGATGAAAGATTTTTTGCATTAGGATGACAATATTTTTCTCAGTATATCTATGCTAATATTATAAAGAGGAAAAGTTTGTATTTTTAATTTTAGTATGTATTGATTTAACTTAAAAACTACTAGGCGGAAATCTAAAATACTTTCACCATTAAAAAGCGTCGTTATCCCTGAGTAATATAGGCTACATTTTATACTATTCTTTTAATTTCACGTGGACGAAATCGCGAGCAACAGCTAGTGAAATATTAATATTTCATGGTAGATTTAACGAACTTATTAACGACTAGCTTTCGCCCGCGACTCCGTCCGCGTAAAATAAAATAATAATAATAAAACAGCCTATGTTACTCACGGACAATGAATAGATTTTTAATGGTGAAAGAAATTTTTAAATCGGCCCAGTAGATTTTGAGTTATTTCATTACAATCAAACAAACAATGTTCCTCTTAATAATATTAATATAGATATAAGTATGACATGAAAATATTTCCCGCGTATCACTGAATTAATTTGCCAAATTAATGAACATACAAACACAATATTATGTAGATAAAACTTGAAGACAATCAATTACTAAAGGTCATTGAACTTGCGTGTATTCAAGAAGCACTAAGTATCGATCGTCAGCAATGTGTCGAGATGTCAGTCACCTTGCAATAGCGAGGTCGTGCTTCAATATGCCGTGTAAGGACTAAAGTGCAGGACTTGTTTTAAACAGTACCGTTAAAGAGCCTATACGGTTAATTACTTTAATACGAAAAATCACTGCGATAATTAACCATAGTTTATACTCTAACAAGCCTTACAAATAAACGCGGTATAATGTTAAACTAAATAAACTGAGTATAAGTAAAATTTGTACTAATATTTACTTATACTAAGTTTATTCCTAAGTTTTTGAAAGTATGGATGTATAGCTAGATTTTAAAAATTTGACACAGATGTAGAACATAATGTGGAGGAGCACATCGGATACTTATTGGGTTTTTTAACTAGGCAAGGACGTAATCGGGGTAAAAGCCAGTTAAAATAAAATCGAACAAAGTAATATGATACTACACAAAGTAACCACGTGTTAAAAGATTTAGGGATCTATTCTAAATTAAGATAGTCAAATATACTAGCTTTTCTTCCTGGCTACGCACAGGTGGATATTTATTTTAATTATTTAAAAACAGTCTTTGTTACTAAAGGATCACGTAGTAATGGCAAAGGAATTTTTAAATTAAATTAAATACTTTTAGAGTATTATCATTTAAACACACAGAAATACAAATCTATTTTAATAATGACGCAATCATGCAGATGTAAGTAAGTTTAAAGTTAGTTTCCTTCGGACAACGTGAAAAAAAACTCAAACCAAATCAATCTATTACATTGATCGTGGTCTGAATAATGTTATTGAAAGTCGTGAGTTGCCCTCGACAATGACATTACGTTCATTGCTCTAAATAACAATTACAATGAAATATCAATTCCATTAACACACAAATGATACACGAAAAAGTAATTTAGACAATCTACCATAAAGGTTATACTTGAACCTTGTAAAGCTTTTGAACTTGATGTTAAGATTGGTTAATACTTTAGTTTTGTTATGAACGTTTTTTTACGGAGATTAAAGCTATTTTTAATCTGTGCAAAGGGACCAAGGCAATTTTCATCGATCATGTTTGAAACTAGGTGTTGCTCGCGTCTTCGTCCGCGCTGAAATATTTTTTTAATAAACATAGTCTGTGTTCCTGATAACGTAGATTGGTAAGAGTTTTTAAAATCTCCCCATTAGTTTGTTAATTTCAATATGTACAAAACAACAAATCTATCCTCTTTATAACATTCGTGTAGATTACGATTTTTCATATTGAATATGGACAATGTATCAAATATTACAATTGCTACTAGGATCCATATTATGGCAGTTAATGCATTTTTAATAACATTCAATATTGCACAATGGCTGTAGCCGAAAGTAGTGTTGAATGAATATAAACAATAGCTTTGATTACATTGGATAACGACGGACAAACAGACCGATTGACGTACGTTGCCTATCTGCAGACAAAATGTATGGAGCATTGTCTAGCAGCCACGTAACATGTAACTACCGATTGTAAGGATTTCATTCAACTGTCTTTAGACAACTAAAGTTAATAGTCAAACGAAATTTCGAAACAAAAATAAAACTTTGGTCTAATGGTACCACTCGTATATTTGACTTATATATACGATTTTTTCAAAATTTCCAAGATATTAAAGTACTTAACGTCATAAAGCTTTTGAAAAACAGTTACAATTGTAATTAAAATTCCTTATACTGATCAAGTAAATACTCTTTGAATTATTTTTATCAGTTTTGAAAGGGACGAAAGCAGGAAAATCTACAGAGGTATCTATCCCATTTTTATCCGCTTTAAGGGATCGAAGTAATAAAAATAATTAAGAAATAACTTACTAGTCGTAAGGGGTGTGATAGCTTTTTCACCTTCATGCTGAAACATTTGCAGTGTGGCCACCGTTGCTTTCAGCTGTTCATATTCTCGCGCCATCTGCTTTTGTACCTAAAAACAAAAGAGAACTTTGATATACTTCAACGTTATATATTTCACTAGCTTTTGCCCGAGACTTCGTCCACGCAATATTAAGTTAAAAAAGTAGTCGATACTATGCACGTCTATGTCAGCTACCCTCAGTAAAAGTCCGATCGAAATCGGCCCAGTCGTTTCGGAGATTACCCGGAATAAACGCGGCTTGCGGACAGACAGACAGACAGATAAAAAAGTTTAAATGCGATTTTTGTGTTCAGCAACGTCAACATTATCTTCTCGAAATCTGGAATTTTTCTTATGATATTACAAACAGACACTCCCATTTTTTTACATACCTATTTACAGCCCTACACATAATTACAGATAATTAAGTAGCTATTATCGAATTTTATGGACCGAAGTTATGAACTCTACCGACTCCTAATTTCAGCGATGTAATCATGATTCCTGTTAATACCCCACAGGAAAAAACATTTCGGCAGGATATTGTCTACGTCGTGACGTACGTGGGTCTCGACTTTCCACGAAGCGAGTCGTTAAGCGATCGTATCGGAACGCATAAAAACGAATGCTGTCGAGAAACCGTCCGGCCTTCAGAGATGTAACGAAGTGGTGATTGACTAGACATGTTAATTATTACAAGACTTTTTTAATCATAGTTAAGACGTTTAAATATGTATACGAGATAATTTAAACAACACAACGTACAATCACTTGTAAGTAATTCAATGTATTTAAAAACAAAAACAACACTGTGTAAACGGGTATAGCAGAAGTGAGGCGAAAAAGAGCGTAAACTCGAGATATAGGCCTTTGCAGCGTCCGCAAATTGTTGAGTGAGACGAAGAAAAAACACGGCATCTTACAGAACAAATACTGCAATTTAGTCTTTGCATAACAAAATTTCTTGTATTTTGCCTTCAGATTGTGTTACGATTTCATACGAATTTCCGCCAGAGTGTTGGACTACAAACTGGGGTATTTCACGAAGCTAAAACAAAAGAGAAACTCGATCTCCCACACGATAAACATTCACAACAGCTGATGACAAAGGAAGCCATCACTGTTGTTAAAAAATTATTAATTCTACACGTTGCGCTCCATTTCACCCGACTCTAACGATACCTTGACCGAATTGTTTAACTTTTTGTTTCGGTGACAAAAAAAAATAATTGCCTGGACTGTCATAAAAACATAGGTCAAAATTTTCTTTACTTTACTTTTGTATAAATCGCCAGATTCAAAATAATTATAGCGACATTTACGGCAAGCTAAAGATCAATAAATAAGGTTTCAATGACATTCTCTACTTATCCTTGTAAACAAAGTGGGTGATTGCTCATATTTAGTTACGAGCTGTTCCCGAGCAGCTTCATTCGCATGAATTTGTAAGAACTTTCATGGTTCACATTTGTGAAACTTTCAATTGTTTGACAACGAAGTCCTTTGACATTAGTAAACAATTCCGTTACCACGGCAACCTTGCTTTGATGTCATCTTGTAGTTTTTGTCCCGACTCCCATTACGGTTTTTTCCAAATATTTACTCCCGTAGTTTGATAGCGTTAAATACATAAATGCGCCTGAAACGTGTGATAAGTGTAAGGTTTTTTATGTAAAAATAATTATTCATAAATATACTGTGATTGCTGACACACTAAGTAGTTTGTGTTTACGCTTTATTATATTAGTACTAGCTTCCGCCCGCGATTCCGTCGTCGGGGAATAAAAATAAATTGAATATCATATGTGTTCTTTCGGACTATCCTCTACGTCTATGCCAAATTTTATCGCGATACGTTCAGCCGTTGGCTGCAAACTCTAACAAACTTCCATCCATCTATCTAAACTTTCGCATTTATAATATTATGAGTAGTAAGAAGTAAGATAGATGTATAGATATGTTATTTTTTGATATACACAGAAGTTTGACGACTTCTTGTTCTAGACGCCCATTGTACGAGTGTGGTCGCAGTAATTATTCAATGGTGTAGGAAATCGGATACCTGAAACGCGACTGACATAAATTATAAACTCGGGGTCAATGACACCAAGGTAAACATTTACGTTGCACAGTAGGGTTACTACGTTTCTTTTGTCTCACTAATTTTAACCCTTACTTCATAAACATTGTAAAAACAGAATTTTGGTATACTTATTTGTGATAAATGATAGTAGTCCTCGAGTGTTTTGTTGGCTCGATAATTAATAACGATTACTCTAGTATCGAAAAAATATCGTCAGCTGAATATGACTAAACAAAAAAGTCAAGGTAACATTTTCATAAGATTTTTTAGCGATCATTTTTTTTTAAAAATGTTAAATAATATGTATTTTATTTATTGCCAACCCTGAAATATTACCCTACAAAATGACAACGACAGACGTACTCTACAATAGAATAAGTGCTTGGCGTACATCCAGACACTGAATTAGACTAGGTGACCTAACTGTTCAAAGCCTAACCGTTCTCTTCGATTCACATGGTAACTAGTCATCTTAGCTCATTAGGATCGTACTTTATCTCCTTTAGACTAAAAGATGACTCACATGTACCAATAAATGATTTAATTAAGACCAGTATGCCTTGATTCATGAGACACATATGTGTCATACATTGCAGGTTTTATGATGTTTATATTTACTCGAGATTGTAAATGAAAAAAAAAACGTCACAAAACTCGTCCTTTTTAAACCTCTTTATTTAGCATCCTATTTTTTAATACTAAAAATACTAGCTTTCGCCCGCGATTCCGTCCGCGACGAATTAAAGAAAAACAAAAGTAAGTATCCTTTGTCTTCTTGCTAAATTTCATCGAGATACCTTCAGCAGTTTAAGCTACAAAATCTAACAAACATCCATCCATCTTAACTTTCGCATTTATATTATGTAACATTGGTATAAAATAAAATTGCAATAGAACAGTGGAAACGCACGGTTACACACGTAACATGCGCCACAAACTGCGGGTAGCAGATAAAGAATCATTTGCATAACGCTTTACCAATATTACAGACGATATACTAATGTAAACTTTCCGTGTAACACTAACTCCGCCTTCCTTGAAGCTGATAACGGACATTAATCTTAATGGTAGCTGTTTTCGACCTTTACGTAACATACGGGCTATTAATCTAGCTTACTGGCATGATGCGTGCTATGTGTTACCTAACCATAAAATTGCAAAGACCCATCATTTTAACTCATAAAAGTATTCCAACAACCAAAAGTTATGAGCGAGATTCCTACGGAGGCCCTTTATTACAAACTTGGTGTTGATCGTGACTTCACCCGCGTGAAATTTAAAATAGATAAAAAAACATAGTCTATTTTACTCAGTGATAACATAGCTTATTAAAAAGTCAAAAATAAAAATATTTCCTCTTTATAACTTTAAGTTACAAGTCAAATAAGGGAAACAAAAGATTAGCGTGGTATAGAAGTGTTATGCAACGAGAAGATAGGGATACAAACCAGAAAGTGTTACAATTTAATATTGATGGCTACAAAGATAGAAGACCGAAGAAAGTGTGGATGGATTGTGTGAACAAGGATATGGTAAAAGGAGTGAATGCAGATATGATGGCTGATAGAAATGTATAGAAGAGCAGGACATACAGTGCCGACCTTTCTTAGGGACAAGGGCTTTTTTATCAGATGCCAGTACTGTATTTAGTCAAGAAGAACAACGAGGTTCAAAGATTAATTCAGACATAGAATATAAAAACGAAGAGAAATACTTAAAATATCATAAAATATGCTGTCTAGTCAACTTTATTCTTTAATTCTAAATCCAAAGGCATGCGCTTCATTCCCACCAGTAATATCAGACGATACTTATTAACACAAGTCAGGCTGGTTCCGAGTAGCGAATAAAAAGGCAAATTAAACAGGTCGATAGCCCGAGCGAAACTCAGCCACAACCACGACTAGATGTCCGATAATTTTAATACGCTAGTACGTGTTATCTCAGTTATCAGTTATCTAAATTGATAATTGCATTCTTTATGTACAATGATTAAAGCTTGAGAATATAATAGTAAAAATTCATCATTTCTTAGAATTTATCTAATAAACAACTCGAATAGATAAATTATCTGTGTATAGATAGTGTCTATATCAAAATAATGACTCCGTTTACTTTTTTTTTAATATTATAAATGCGAAGGTATAATTTCATGGATGTATGTTAGAGTTGCAACCTAAACGAGTGAACTGATCTCAATGAAATTTGGTATACATGTAGGAGGTAGTCTGGAAGAACACATATGGCTACTTAGTTTTATTTTCTAATTACACGTGGCCGGAGTCGCGGGCGAAATCTACTATCGTTATAAATTAAAAAATTTATATTCCGTGTTTTTTATATGAGTATAAAATCAACTGGAAGCAGATAGAATTCACGTCTTCTCATGATATATAGTATATTTAAAGTAAAGTGTTAAAATCTTTAAAAGATAAATAGAACTGAGAAATAACTCTATCAAGGCGAGTTTTCAAGTTTAATTAGTGTTGAACTGATATACACACGTTCCCTCAATTGGACTATGATAAAAAATGAAAACCAAAGAATAAGAACTGTTGAATAAACGATAACATAGGTACTCATAGTTCAAACGTTAATGGATAAGTCGTGTCTAGACACTTGATAGACAGACTGTCTCGTTTAACGAATAGTTAGCTTAAATATCCAGCCAGTTATTATTCTTACGTTGAGTAAGATAGAACACGTGCGACACATTTGTCGGAACCAGTTTTACTATGTATCCAAGTATTTCAAACAATAGGATATTATTTTTCTCATAGTTACTTTGTCCAGTCTTTCTATCAAATTTCATAAATTGCCTGCTGCTTCTGGTTGGTAAAAACATCGTTTATCTCAGCTTTTTTCATAGGGAATGAAAAGGATCGCAATATATTTAGGTATTATGATTGCGAATTAAAGAAAGTCATAAACCCAGATGAACACGCGTGCTAAGAGAATGGGATGTAAGAAAAGTCAACCTACAATG